AAGTTCTCCACATGGTTTGGGCACATCCATAGGCCAGTTGGCAGAGCAGTCATCGGTGGATTCAGACAATCTTGATGAAAGTATAATGGACAGTAGTCACATGCTACAAGTGGCGCTTTCTTACATGACTTGCGGCAGTAAAAACAAGTCTTCGCTGGTAATGGCACCAGGCCTTGTGGATCTAGCTCATATGGTTTAGAATTACGGCGTACATTACTTGGTTTTTTATTGCCATTTCCATTTTTGCGGAGCGGTTCAACTGGAAACAAGTGCAAAAACTAATAATGCAAGAAATATAGCACTATTGACAAATGTTTTAAATGTACCCTTATCATTTCCAGGAAACTGTGAATGAATTTCCAGCTCCCGCGGTAGCTCAAATTGTTTCGGATTTAATATACTAGCAGCCTTGATGAGCTCATCTAGCGGTGTAGGTTTTTTATTTGGATCCAGTGCTCTTTGTATTCCCACTGGTAATTTTGATAAATATTTTTCCGTAGTGCTAATTTCACTACAAACCGATGCACGGCTGCTGCTGCGTTTTCGTAAGTTACGAAATTTAAATGGTGCCGATTCAGTCTCAATCGAAACTGAAGGGGTACTTGGCCGCGAATTATCTGTGCGTGCGGAAGCTGTTGTGCCAGAAACGCCACGTTCAACAGAGCTTGATTTAGATGGTGGAGTAGGTTTGAGTGTCATGCGACAGTTATGACATAACCACTGTCCGCTCGGTATATCTTCCTCCGTTAATGGCGGATCGCTATGGGAAATAATGCTCTAGCTATAACAAATGGTGTACATATGTGCACACATTTAACACGTGTACTTACTGACACTGCAAATGAAAGCTGGATGGACAACGATCGCAGCACAGAAGATCCCCACCTTCTTCGCAGGCATCGCAAAGGTCATGATTATGACCCCGACCTGGCCGCTTATAATATGGATGTTTTGTATTCACTGGACGCAATGTTATCTTTTCTTCTTCAGATGGCGGGGGTTTAATAAGCGTTTTAATTTGCTGTGTAAAAATAAATTCGTTATATTACCATAAGTTTATAAATATTCTATGTTAAAGTCAAATTATGGATATATACACATGGCAATTGTATGGCGTTCCAGCATCTGGATTTACATACTGGGACTCACAACTTTCACTACATTTCAGCTAATAGAGCATAGTTTGAATTACCTCCATAATGGGCAAATTCGGATCCACTACCACTTTCGACATGTCTACTATCTTTTAGCTACAAATTTGCCACAAAAACGTTGTTGATTTCTTGCAACAACCAATTTATTCCAAAGGATATTTTGCTGCAGTTATATTGTTTGACATTTGTTCAATTCGATGCTGCGGGAAGTGTGTTCAGTGAATTCTTGTAACCACAATGAGGGTTGTATTTGATAGTGCGTTTATTCTGACTGTTTATTCCACCATGTTCACTACTTTGTTCTTTTTCCAAGATATTAAAACATGTAATAGCGCTAATTTTTCTTAATTTAGGAAAAAATAGTTTTAATTAACTGGCAGTCACCACAGGATATATATCTTGATACATATGTCAGAATATAATTTGCCAATGGAGACCGCTCATTACTATCCAAGAGTAATATATGTATATCAGAGCTTGCCATCTATTGCCGGCAATTTGCAAGTGTGACAGCTACATACATCTTGATTTGCACGAAAACTTCGTGGCGGAAACGTTATTGATTTTTTTATGTTAAAGCAAATACTGAGACGGTTTCTATTGTGGTATGCGAGCTCTCGCTTGCATGATAAAAACATAACAAGGTAAAACCATTGGGAGGCAGTCTGACGTTTGCCAACAATATAATTTTAAAATCAAAACTCAAACTCACACACACATTCTCATTTTCAATCTCAAACAACAACAATTGTGAACAATTTAATTTTTTTATTTTCAATTTAATATGATTTTAAAATGTTGGCAAACGTCAGAAAAAAATCATGGCCGACGAAATGAGAGAATGAATTTACCTTGTAATGTTTTTATCATGCTCGCTTGCTTTCAACTGTCATTTTTGTTGTTTGACAGCTATGTTCTCATTTCACAGAATTCTTCAGAGTAGCAACCTCGTTTATTTTGGAGGCAAAAAGAAATTTCACGTAAGGATTCACCCAAAACCGTTTCTGGCGTATTTTTCTCTCTTTATGCAGATTTTCTCAAACTTTTAAGAGCCTGCAAGGCTTGAACCTTCTTGTTTGGCGTAATCGCCCCTCGGCAGGCAATGGCAAACCTCCGAGCATGATAAAAAAATATAGTAAGGTAGAACCGCTGAGAGTCACTTTTAAAATTATTGACGTTTCCAAACAATTTAATTTTTAAATTTACTCACAAACTCACACACACATTTTCATTTTCAATCTCAAGCAACAACGATTTCGAACAATTTCATTTTTTTATTTTCACTTTTATATGATTTTAAAATGTTGGCAAACTTCAAAAAAAAATCATGGCCGACAAATTGAGAGAACGGTTCTACCTAGCTATATTTTTATCATGCCTCCGAGTGTATCTCTGCCACGAAAAACAGCTTCTCATAAAAATACAATCGCCGTTCGGAGTCGGCATAAAACTGTAGGTCCCTCCCATTTGTGTGACAACATCAAGGCGCACGCCACAAATCGGAGGAGAAGCTCGGCCAAACACTAACATATGTGTAAGCGCCAATCTATTATTATTATTATTTCAGAAAAGGCCAAATAAATTTCTGAAAACGCCAAATGAATTTCAGAAAAAGTAACATGTATTTGAGAAAACCTTAAACGTATTTCAGAAAAGGGCAAATGTATTTCAGAAACGCTCAAATGTTTTTCAGAAAAGGTCAAATGTATTTCAGAAAAAGCCAAATGAAATTCAGAAAAACAAAATTGTAATTCAGGGAAGTTCAAATGGTTTTCAGGGCAAGTTGGAATACACTTGTGCTTTTATGAAATTCATTTGTGTTTTTCTGAAATACATTTGCCCTTTTCTGAAATACATTTCGACGCCTGGGTAAAAGATTTTCGTAAGCGTCATACGTACCTGCGTAACATACGACAATCTTTTACCCAGGCGACGATTTGTGTTTTTCTGAAAATCATTTGAGCTTTATTAAAATACAATTGTGTTTTTCTGAATTTTATTTGGCTTTTTCTGAAATACATATGAGCTTCTCTGAAATACATTTGAGCTTTTCTGAAATACATTTGTGTTTTTTATGAAATACATTTGTGCTTTTATGAAATTTATTTTGCTTTTACCGAAATACGTTTGTGTTGTTCTGAAATACTGTTAGAAAAGGTGTAGTTTTAGTCCGAGAAATTTGGGATTTCACCTAAATATTGCCACTGATATAACTTATATCTAGCGACCAAAAAGACAGCTGGACAGCAATAAACTTTATCCTGTGAAGACTGCCAGTAATAGGAAAAAATCAAACGAAAAAATAAAATGCTGCGACTATTGTGAACTTATCATGAAAAATTTACATCGACAACCCTAAGCAGTACTGAGTCAACAAAAGAATAGAATAAAAATAGAGCAATACTAAACTAAAAACGCAAAATAAATTGTCAATAGAAGCGAAATCAGTACAATACTTATTTGATTCAGTATAAAATGCTTTCGTTCTTCTCTAAGAAGAAGCCAGATTCACCGCCAGTAGAAGTAATTCAAGGTCCTGCGGATCCTACCCAATCTAATGAAAGCGGAGGTGGAGATGATTTCATTTTTGTAGAACGCAAGACTTCTGACAACGATCCTGCTAGGCTACCTACACAAGGTATGGGGATGTATCCACCGATGCCACCCACGTTTGGAATGGGTAAATTTCCGGGACCGCCTGTTTATCCATCGACATCAAGCGCGGCAAGCGGATGTGATACCACGGCGCCAGTCCCATATGTTCAGGGTATACCATTCGAACTGGCGCCCCAACTGAGTACAAAAAGTGACTTTGAAATAACACAATTGCAAGTAGACAGCATTTTAGCATTGCTGACGCGTCAAATGTCGGTGGACGAAAATGAAGAATACAATTTTGCATTGGAAAGGTCGATACAAAACGAGTGCTACTAATGTTTTCGGAGGACGCATGCATGTTGTTGATATCGCTTGTATAAAACAACGTATTTTTATTTTAATTATTATTTAGGTATAAGAAAACCCACGAAATAATAAAATTTAAAAAGCCGACAAAACGCATAATTATTAATGGAGGTGGGCTCCAAATATCTAGGTGGCTCCGGTAGTGTCGATTTGATTTTGTACGAAAAAAACAGCACATGATCAATATCGAGGCTATCAAAGACCATTCAATATTTCATTATTCCAAGATAAATTACTCCTTATGATTCCTTGGGTAAAACAAATTGGCATTTAAATTGGTTTGAACAAATCTTATCCCGGTATGCCATGAAGTATTGGTTACTCGAAACTTTTAAGAGCGGTTTCTTTCATTTACAAGCAACCCTACATTTTCAACAGCTGATGTTGACATTTCGGTCTCGTATGTCAAAAGAAAAAAATAGTTGTGTTCGTTTAGAAAGGTCAGAAACGAGCAAGCAACAAAATTCAGAGATTAAATTCTCCCAAAGAGAGAAACATAAACAGTTTTTCGGCATGGTGTATTGAGTACGCCTTGGTTTTTCGCGAAAAGGACTTTGCCATGCCGTTTGGAATAGTAGAGTAACTTAAAACGCAAAAAAAAAACAAAAAAAATTGCGAAAATATGTCGCATGGCGGTCAGAAAATCGAAAAAATTTGGTTTTTGTTCAAATTTTCCTTAAGCGGATATTTCGCTTGGTTGTTGTATCAGCATACAGATTTCCCAAAGAATTTATGGGGAGTGTTGCTGGAGTGACAGTCCTTGACCAGTTATAAATCTGGGTCGTTCCGGTTACGTAGACCAGACTGTCGTGGGAACGGTTGGTTTGTTAAACCGCTTGTGTGGTGTATTTCGCTCGTAATTATTTAATTTTCCAAACAAAAATTTGCCAAACACTGACCTAAGTAATAAAATATATATGTACAAACTTCTTTCATTAGCAAATCGCAACAAGATTGTACATTTTTAGGTTTAACGAAGTTCTTCCCATCACAAATTTGCAACATCCTCTACAAATGAAATGTCAAACTGCGCTCTCTTTATGCACGTTTTGTAAAACTTGTAAACCTTTTTTGTATTGCGAACAAAACTATTATTAATGTTTGTCTGTACATATGTACGTGATTTCATTTCACTAGCAATCTAAACAAAAACAACATTCCGCGCTTTGACCAGCTTTTGCAACCTATTTTTCGCCCAACCAAGAAATATTACTCACCTCCTTATAATATAGTGTAGACGAAGGTGAATCGAGGTGTTGACGCAATTTCAAAGCAGATCTACTAAAATTTAGGATATTAAGTTAATTTTTCACTTGATAATTAATCTGTCATCGTTTTTTGTTTACATAGCAGTGATATAACAATAATGTCAAGCTCGGCAAAGGCAGGCGATGTCCATGAATCGGTACCTGATTCGCAACAGCTGCCACAGCAACTATATGTGGAAACATTTTCGGTGTATGTGGTAACTTGGAATGTGGGCACTCGTTTCCCGGATAATATTTCTTTGCGGTCACTATTGGGACTTCAAGGTGTTGATGACGAAAAGGAACAAGTTTTGCCTGACATTTACGCCATTGGCTTACAAGAGGTGAACGTACAACCACAGCAACAAATGTTAGGTCTATTCAAGGAAGACCCGTGGACGCACAAAGTGAAAAAACTACTTCGGGATTTCGACTATGTGGTCATAAAAACTGAACAAATGCAAGGTTTATTACTTACATTGCTAGTGCGTCGGCCACATGTTCAGCATATGCGAGATATTGAGCCCGAGTTCACCCGAACGGGATTTGGCGGTATTTGGGGTAACAAAGGTGCAGTGAGCATTCGCTTTTCGTTATATGGTTGCGCTTTAACTTTTGTTGTGGCACACTTGGCTGCTCATGATCACCATTTGGATGAACGCATTGAAGACTATGAGCAGATTATGGAAAATCACCACTACCATGTACCACACTATCGCGAGATATACGACCACGATTATGTTTTTTGGTTTGGCGATCTTAATTTTCGTCTGATGGGTGATGACAGTCCAGCTGAAGTTTTGGCCAATGTTAAAAAGGAGGAAGTGATGTCTGAACTCATTCAACGCGATCAGTTGTTGCATGTGAGAACTAAGTTGCATAAAGCATTCCATCTAATGCATGAGCGCTTGCCTGCATTCCCACCGACTTTCAAATTTCACGAAGGTACATCGAATTACGATTTAAAGCGCCGACCTGCTTGGACGGACCGTATACTCTATGCTTTGCAACCGCTCAATAAACGCCCCGATGAAAGACTAGCCATCGAACAAAGATCATACAAGTCACATCCAGCCTATAACATAAGTGATCATAAACCAGTGAGCAGCGAATTCAGTATTAAACTTTATCCGAATTATCGAGCAACTTGCGTAACTTTCAAAGAAATCGCTGAGTGGCAAATCGGCGAGGAAAACATAGTGCAATATCTAAAGCCCAATGATTTTGAGGAACGAAATCACGACTGGATCGGTATTTATCGGGAAGACTTTGCTAGTCTGAGTGAATACATAGGGTATGAGTATGTCAATCAAGCCGAGTCACCACCATCGTCGCCGGAACCAAGGCAGGGTACCTTCGAAACACCCGGCACGCATCGGTCAGGTCGGCACCGTCATCGCAACCATGAACGCTTGCGCCGTCAGCAGTTACAGAATGAAGAAGACATTCGCCTCGATTTCTCCGATGACATCAACATGCGAAATGGCGAACGTTACTTATTAATTTACTTTCAAAATACTGGTTTACGTGGCGTCACCAGCGTGGCTGGTGTGAGCAATGTTTTTCGTGCAATTACGTCGTGAGCAATTCAAATCAGCCTTAAAAAAGGTTGACAATTGCGCTATTTATTAATTAACTTTATTGTTTTGTTTTACCAAGTTTTAGATTGTTTATTACACTACTAAAGTCATCTACACAGTCTGTATACATATACATACATGCATATATTTTGCTACAATTGGGGTATTCACACCTGCCTGGTTATCTGTTTAAAAATTATTATTCTCTATATTTTTGTTGTAAACCGAGTAAAAAACTGATAACCTGGCAGGTGTGGATACCTTAACTATATATGTACATTAGACTGCGCTTTAGTTGTATGGAGAACATTTTTCGTTAAGCTACAACGCAAGATCCCTAGAAATTTGATCTGGTAATAAAAACAAGCTCTGCGAAGAATTTTTAAAATCGGATAACGGAAAGACGTGTCTGAACGCTCCTAAAGTTCAGATTTTCATGCAATTTTTCACAATGTGGTTAAAATTGCCTATAAGTCAGTGGGAAATTTAATATCTTTTAATGGAACTTGAACTTGTTTTGTCCCCCAATGTCAAATACGGCTACAATATTTTTAAACCTTCGCAACTTTTAAAGTTATTGAGGGTTTTCGCACGTAAAATTAAAATTTTTTAGGATTACTGATGTTACAAATCCTACAAAGCAAGAAAGCAAGACTCCCCCAGAAATGTTCATTTGGTCATAAAAAATCGGATAACGGAAAGACGTGCCTCAAAGGCCCTAAAGTTCAGCAAACTCATGGAATTTTTCACAAAGCAGTTAAAATTGCCTATAAGTCAGTGGGAAATTTAATATGTTATAATGGATCTTGTTGGGTAGGTACGAAGAAAAAAATGTAGTAGCGAATTTGACACGTAGATCATGGATCCACAGTCTTGCCCCTAAATTTCATACGGGAACATTCCGCCATCCTGGATTTTATGTTTTTTTGGGGGTTTTGTGCGATTTGCAAGCTTATTTTGAATTTTTCGAACAAAAGGGCTGTATACACATTTGTAGAGAATTTCATTTTTTTCTCCGTACCAATTTGATCTAAATTTACTGGGCTAAAATTTAACTTCTGAAATCCTAGAAAGTTGTAATTTTACGTGGAAAAAAACCTCAATAACTTTAAAAGTTGCGAAAGTTGAAAAATATTGTTGCCATTTTTGACATCGGGAGAAAAAACTACATCAAATGCCATTAAAATATATTAAATTTCCCACTGACTTATAGGCAATTTTGACCACTTGGTCAAAAATTCCATGAATTTGCTGAACTTTAGGGCCTTTGAGGCAAGTCTTTCCGTTATCCGATTTTTTATGACCAAATGAACATTTCTGGGGGGAGTCTTGCTTTGTAGGACAAAGTTGCAAAATAAGGCGCAGTCCAATGTACATATATATTTTTCAGAAGTTTAATTTTAAGGAAAAACATTGGATTAAGGGATGTCACTTCTAAAAATACTAATCTACTGAATTAATCATAGACAAAAATAATTTGAGAATGTTTCAAAACGCATTTAATCATTGTTCCACAACATTCTAAAGTGCGTGATAAATATACATATAATATAATACAATGAAAAATGTACATGATATGAAAAAGTTTAAATAAATGTTTTACAATAATAAAGAAATGAAATATATATAAGATGATTTTTCTTTTTCAATACAGTACATAGGAGTCCCTACATACATATTAGAGGCTTACGCCGACAGACTTTGCCGCGGCGGCGTTGACAACTTTAAAAATAATCGGTGGCGGCGGCGCAACTGCCCATTAGGCAGATTCCAAAGAGCCATGAGGCTACTACTAATTTTATCATGTGATCTCGTCAGCGTTAAGCGTTCACAATGCTAATTCAGATTATAAATTTATTTAATTCGTTCTTGAATTAGTTTTAAAGTTAAATATTGCTGCTTTCTACTTGAATTGAAATGTTGAGTGCGCTGATGGGTGGGCGAACAGAAGGTATGAGGTTTGTACATAATGTGACCAACTATTTCATGGCTTAAAGAAGTACAGGACCTGAGAACAAAAAATTGTATGAAAATAATGAAAAAATGGTAAAAGCAGAATATACAACAACGTTGACAGTGTACCAAATCCAACAACGTTAATTTTTTAATTAACAAGGAAAGAAGTATAGGATGGGGCGGATTAAATATAGTTTTTTTTCACCTTTCTTCAAACTATGTACATGAGAAGCCGATTTCAAACATTTTCGATAATATGCTCAATTAGACTTAGTGATATATTTAAATGAACTGGGCTTGGTAGAAATCGATAAATTGCTTACCGAGCATAAGCGGTGTCGTGCCCATTTTCCAAAAATCTATTCATATAATAAAATTTTTACAGGCCGATGTCTGTACATAATAGATATTAAAGAAAAATTAATATGGGCGGTCTTTATAAGAGCAACAGAAACCAAATTAAGATTTTTTAGAAATTTTGATTGTCTGTCTGTCTGTACAGAAATATAAAGCAGTTTTCACCGATGTATTGCTTGAAGTTTAACTTAAAATCTAGAAGAAGAAAAAAATTAGAGAGTTGCCACCTGTTTGAAAATTACAGTTTTGCTAAAATTGATAGATACATTAAATATTGCAATATGGCTGTCAAAATAAAGAGGTTTCAAAAGGCTCACAGCCGAAAATTTTCTTGGGGAACGTTGCCACCTGTTTGAAAATTTTTGTTTATTTTAATTAATAAGATAAATTAAATATTGCAATATGGGTATCAAAATAAAGAGGTTTAAGAAAGTTGGCTACTGGGAATATTTGAGGAATATTTTAAATATTACAATTCTGGTGTTTATTGTCGAAAATACTTTTGGAAATACTAGTTGCGATCCCGTACGAGGTCGGACTAGTCAGAAATACTCAGAATCAGTCAGATTTTACTGGAAACCAACCAAATTGTAAACAAAAGAAAAGTGCACTCTGCTAATTCATGTTGAAAAGTATTTAATTACTTGTTTAAGTGGATTCTAATGAATTTGAAAATGTTTTTGGTTATTTACATGTAAGAGCTGAGTGTGTTTACATACAAAATAGGCCAAAATTTTGAGGTTATGTTTAAGTTGACAGAAGTTACCATTTTTTACTAGAAAGCGATCCCGTACTTTTCAATGTTACTCTCTCGCTCTGAGCGAGTTTTTATTTTTTGAACTATTTTAAAAACTTAATTCAGTTAAATTGATAGGATAAGGTAAATATTGAATTAGTACACCTTTGAAGAAAGTTCGCGATATGTATGTAGACTGGAGTTATAAAAATATAAATTAAATTTCCATGAGAAAGCCGAGTAGTATAAAAAATAAAGAATGCTTCATAAATCAAAAATTTGTTTGAAAATCTCCCATCATAAATCTCTTTATTTTATTTTCCAAAAATTAGGCCATACGAGTCTTGGAAGGAGGGAACAATCCAAATATACTTTCTTCATGCATTTATTGATATGAAATATTAATTTATCTGTGGTTAGTATGTTAATTTAGTGGCCAAGGCATTCGGTGCCAAGCGTTCATCGTAGCAAGCATACTTTTAACGTGCGTTCTGTCAAACCAACGCTAATGCTAACGCCAAAATCAACGCGAAAGTTCTATGTGGACCGGCCTTTAAACACATTTTTATTGATTGAATAGTCACAATGAAATTTGTCAGCTACAGATGTGAAGTGATTGACAGTCATAATTTACATGTGTGTTGATCTACGAGTACTCTTTTTAACTGAGATGACTTACTTTTTAGAATCAGTTAAAGAAAACTTAACTTAAAAGGTAGAACAAAATATTGCAAAGAAGTACATCTGACTGTACTTCGAAGTACGAAGTACAACGGCTCAAAAATAAGTACTGTGCTTCCGGAAGAAGTACGGTTGGTCACATTATACATACATGTATTATATTTAAATTGAAAGAAATAAAAAAATTAAAAAAGTTAAGTTATTGGAGTAATTTAAGTCGCTATTAATAAATGTTTGTAATAGTCTTATCTACCGTTATGTTAAATTACGAAGTTCTTAAAATTTTTTGCATATTGGTATATTATTTTTGATACTGAAAACTTGATTTCCGAGCTGTAGATTGTCCACCATTTTGAAAACAAGAGTGGTAAACTTTTTTGCAACAGTTTAACCTATAAAATCCCACCAGACCGGTCCTTTTCGAACCAATGGTGAAAAAATGGCTAATAGATGATTAAAATTTCCAATAAAATATTAAGCGCCAAATTTTGCTAAGGAATAATACTCTTATGAGGTCATCTTATTTTCTAGGATTAATCAAAACGTACGAAACTGTAAGAATACCTTGATTAAAGGCCAGTTTTTTGGTGCACGGTTGTGGTTTAAACTTAGTTTAAACGGTAGGGCTGGCTAGTTTAAATTAAGATTAGCCAATCAAATGCCAGCCACCTGTTCAATATAAACGCAGTTTACGTAATCTAAGTCTAAACTAGCACTGGAAACTGGCCCTAAGTGTTATGTCATAACAATTTTGAACTATTTAATCTGATTTTTTAGAAAAATTTTGGGCATGCAGTTACCTGAAATTCTAAGTGGCTAAAGAATCGCGTTGATTTTTAATTTTTGCTGACGACTTCTTGCACATTTTACCATATAAACTTAAATTTATTGTAGAATAAAATGCGTAAGACAGTTTGAAAAAAATAAAAATTACAATTAACGATAGTTTTAATAAATTGCACTTGTTATATAAAAAAAAAAACTACAAAAGCCGTCAGCAAAAAAAAAATAGTAAAAATCTACGCGATTTTTTAGCCGCTTATAAATTGCACCTGTTTTACTAGAATTTCATAAGCTATGTAACTGCATACCCAGCTATTTTTTGAAAACTCAGAAAAAAAAATTTTCCAAATGGGAGAATTTTCTTCTCTGTAAATAGGTAATATTCGATAGATTAGTTATTTGGGATCACCCTAATATGTATGTACATATATAATGCAATATCAAGTACTTACCAAACTTACTTCGTTCACGCATCGATTCATGGTCGATTTAGATGTGATAACCGTTGACTTCAGTGTACTATACAACATCAAACCCATTGCAAGACTACAACAGACGCTTTCTAAAACTCCACTCAATATTTTTCTTAGAACAATGAAACGAAAATTTTAATTTTGAGAGCACAAAATGCTCACATGTACATATGTATGTTTAATAATCGTTGTATGCAGTTTACAAGTTTTCATAGGCATGTAAAACCTATTGTATATATATATTAGTAATTACGGACAATATTATTACGCACTTATGGTTTCAAATCCTTAGCTTTTATAATTATTTAGTTATCTAATACATTATAATATATGTAATATTATGTGAACTTTTAGTAAACAGTTTGTCACAACTTAATCTAATAATTTATCCTAAATATTTTTTTAAAGCCTATATTCAAAAACAGTTGTTCTAATTTGGCAGATAAATTTTAAAACAGTCCACGCTATAATTCATAAGACATATTTGTTTTTTTTTCTTATAGGATTTTTATGAGTTTTTTAACAAGCATAATATGGGAATTCATTTAACACTTAACTGCCTTGTAACCGCGTAAACCTCGTAAATAAATCGGTTCACATACAAAATTAGGTAAGTTTACGAGGTTTAGGTGGTTATGAGGCATTTACGCGTTCAGATGAATGCTAGGATTTTCTCTTAATACATATCCTCGCTTGGCGCGCGGTACCTCGTATCCGTCAGATAGTAGGTAATGCATCAAGGAAGGGAGAAAAAAAGAATATTGATTACCCTATTGCGTAAAGTTAATTGTAAATGGTAAGAAAATAATAGGTTTGTTTTTTTTTAGCTCGCCAGCGGTTACCCGTTACTGCCAATTTTGTATTGTTGGTTCTCGGACTGTTGCGAGCCACTTCGAGATAGTAATTTTTTTTTCTCATTAGCC